GTTAAATTATCTAAACTATAAGTTTCTTCTGTTTTTATGTTATCGCATCTGGTGAATCAATTATCAAGCCAAAATCAAATTAAATTATCAAAACTGTAAGCGAGAAGTAGATTTAAAGAAAGTACCATGTTAGATTTGAGTCCATTTTATGCACAATTCTGAACGCCACCTTGATTGAGGAGAAGAACCATCTTGCCACGAGAACTTGTCGACTCTCACTAATCTCCTCGCTAAACATTTCTTGTAGATCAATTTCTTGCTCGATGTCATTATACAAAGCCGTTTAAGGGTGATTTTGTGAGGAAGACTGAAAATAAATAACTCTAAATCTCTGGCTTCTTCACCAGATGCGATAACATAATAGTTATGAGGAAACCCTAACGGCTAGCGTTTTAGGGGAAAGAGGAGTCTGGCTTTATATATTATTTTTTTAATGAAAGATTTGTTAGGGCTACGTGTCACTCTTACCCAACCTGGAGAGTGTATAGTCCAACATAAATATTTTTGTGGTTCCAAAGCAACATCAAACGAAGAAATGTTACAATAGTTCCATCGTTTCCTTTTGTTTACCAATTCATCTAATCCTCAATATATTTCACCAATTCATCTTCACATGAAAAAGGAAAAGGCATTAAACCCTCAATAATCTCTCCGGAAATCCTAAAACGTCGGTCATAGTTGCATACCTAATTTTCAGAGAAAAACGTAGGAAAAAAATGATTGAAGGACAGTAATGGAATTGCTCTATCTTTCATCTACAAATTTTTGTCATTCGAAATGAAACAATGGGGCTGAGAGTGACTGGCGTTTCGCATATGCAGTTTCAGTCTCTATGGCCGCCACTATGTGAGGTTTTATATTTGTGGAACTTCTTTAGGCGTGTTACGGTAAGATCTTCTACTTATTTCGTATTTGCTCATAGCTCTCATGTAAAAATTCATACAAACATTAATCTTCTAATAATTATTTTTAGATTTGATTGTTCATTAACCAAGAATTCAATTGTCTCATTAACCAAATATTAATTTAACTGTCTAGAATTATAATGGTAAATCTCTTTCTATCTACCATTTAGTCTAAGCAGGGGACCAATATATGGTGTGATTATTTATGTTAAGTTGTTCATCTTTAAAGAATGATTAAATGTGGTTTTCAGCTTTCGTGTTCTTAGATGCCCTCATCGGTTAGTCAAAGCATATCACAGCGTGAATTGTTTGGGACATATGAGTATACGACTCTAGGTAAGAGTAAGTGTTTCTTCACCTGCATGACCATTCGTTTTAAGCTTAATAATTCATGTGGATTAGTTTTATATTTTTACGATGAAAGGTTTTTGAAGAAGTGGCAATGAGTTGATTTTCGGGACTGTTGTTAAATATGCTTAAACTATATATATGAACATGCCTAATGGTCAGGGATCGAAGACTTGCGGAGTTGGCCGTTGACGACCCAACTTAGGCCTCTTTAGAAGGGCTTCTTCTGCTAAGGGTTTAGGTTTTGTTCGGTTTCTGGGTTTCATTTCGAATCGTCATTACCCCATCTGATTTTCGAAGAACAAATAACATCGGCATCACTTCGTCGTACTCCATAAATTCGGATTTATGTCAAGTGGACGGACTGTTTGTGAATTATGTTTTCCATGTTTTTATCTTTTTACCATGGAAACATATCATTAGGTTTATAATTTAGTTTGTAAACCTAAAACTTTTTCATTTTTATTAATAAAATATTTACTATTTAGCCAAAAAAAAAAAAAAACATGCCTAATGGTATGTTAAATATGTTTGATGGAGTCTTGGTTACTCCAGAGTCCGATTTGGATCGTTTTTGGATCGTTTGTAGAGGATTTTGTGTTTGTGTAGTTGCACCAAATTCTTCATGAGAAAATATGCTTTCTCTACATACACCAAAGTGATCAATAACTTTGTACGTCTTTCCTGATTCAATTTTCTTTAGAAAGTTAGATGTTTTTAGGGTCTATATGTTGTTCAAAATGTTCCTGAAAAAAAATTAATGTTGGAGTGAATTTAAATCAAAAATTTAAAGGTTAGATTTTGTGCGGTAGATGACTATTACATATGATCATTCAAACTGTTACTTTGATTCTTCTGATATAATTGGTCGACTTCGAATTATCATTTAGTTAATCTGAAGCCTCAACTACAATGAATTGTGTTTTTATTTAAAAAGGTGTATTTATCTTTGGTCTGCCATTTTTGTGTTATTTGTAGAATGAGAAACAATAAAGAGTGGTAAAGGCGAATCTAGATATCACCATGAAAAAAGTTTTCTTTTCAGATTCATAGGTAACAATATCAAACCTCTATATTTTATTCATGTTTGTTGCTATTATGTTGAATTATTTGTGGTACGACTTATATATGTGGCAGAATCACTCAAAACAACAACGATGAAGTTTGGAGAAAGAAGATAAATATTTAGAAAGCATAGAGAGTAATATTTAGATTATTCGTTCTATATTCTTTGTTTC